GTCAAACTTCAATTCTCGGGTTGTCCCCCCCCCCGACTTGAAAATGACAGGGACTTTGAATGTAGGGAGTGAATCCCTCCCTCACTTGGGAGTTTTACTCGGAATTCACGATAACTATCGCCGCACATCTCTGTTTAACGCACGCGCACGTATGTACTCGCTGTCACAGCAGAAAAAAAGTGAAAACCATGCTTCCATGCTCAGCTACACAGGTAATGCCATGACGTCGCCGCTGTATAAAAATGTTACCCACACTGCAATCAATATTGTGTGACCGACAGAATGAGGTAAAGTTTATAAACACCCAGATCGAATGTGGTAAATGAGGAATGGTTTAAAGGTGGGTAGACAGGTAAACTCACTTGTTACTTGTACTGATCGTACCCTCTGCTTTAGCATATCCCCATCAAATGAAATATTGTTGTTATAGAGGGGTGTATGTAGATAAAATATGGTACTAAATTATTTAAAAAAAATTAATATATAATAATGGCAAACATGTTTTTCTAGCCACGATTAACAAACAGCCGTTTTTTAAAATCTATGAAAATTTTTATTCTAGTGTAAATACATCGCATGTAGCAGATGACACGGACGACTGGTTAGAACAGGAAAACGTTGTACAGTGTATGCAACTTTGCACGAGTACTTGTTACTTTACAAATGGCGCCAATATTGTAGTTTGACTTGTCAAAATACAATTTTTTAGATTTTAGAATCGTCTTCCTGTCTACATTGTTTACGCACACATAAACACACACCAGCAAACTTATTCACTAAAGACGTACAATGTACACCTTAATGTCTACAGTCCCTGTGCTTTATCCAGAACGAAAGTTGTGACCCTTCAAAGAAAGGACTCCCACAATTTATGCCTTTCACAGAGAGTCCACACACACGATGTACTCGCTAGAAGTAGTTTGTGATTTTCTGACAGATTTAATCAACTATGAAGATGATAGCCATGGAAATGTACACATAATTCAGAAGTGTTTTGGTGATTTACACCATTTCACTACACGGCGAGAAAATAAAACGAAAACGCCTAGAGAAGGCACAGAAACAATAAAGTACAATGGACGAAACTTACACGGCCGCGCACGAAACCGAATGCCGCATTTCCCTATGGAAAGTCAATCAAAAATGTTCAGCGTGCAGAGATTGGTAGCAAGAAAACGTACGAGAAGCGCCCAGACTAATCGTAATCGTGAAACATTCCATGAAATGACCGTTGATTGGACCAAGTCTTTCTAGACAATGTGAGACACAGGCCTCTTCAGGTCTCAATTCTGTTCCCAAGGTTTTGGCTGCCTTGGAACCACTACACGGAACGTGACACTGCCTTTGTCATACGCCACGGCACGAATTTCTCTAACAAAATGCTTTTCCTCGCAACGCTGTGATAGTTCCTGCAGGTTCCACGTGCCTCGGCACTGTCCGACGATGAAGCCGTTGAAATAAAAAAAGTTGTACGGTAGAAGATTCTACGAAGAATTCTACCGTCGTTGTTGATACACGTTGCCCCCGCCTCCTCCTGGTGCACCGCCTCGTCCCCTCCCTCCTCCTCCTCTATCACCTCTTCCTCCTCCCCGACCTCCTCGTGCAGCTGAAGAATAATGGGTTAGCGGGATTAAAAATGAGAAAATACGTAACTTGCCGTTTGCACTTCCTTTCTCGAGGACCCTTGAGAAAGAGGCTACCCGAGGCACCACTATTTAGCTGATATCATTCTATGCAATACCATACTATATGCATGTCTATGCTATGTGTGCAGTCGATAACACACGCATCGGAGAAAAATTATCTGTTAACTAACTTTTAGTTTTACCTCCTACTAACTATTAGTACTAATAGTATTAGGTAAACATTAGGTTTAGCTTCTTTAATATTGTATTTAGATGCAGTAAACTGTGATTTGTAAACGTAAACACACCTTGTGCTCGGAGAATCGCAGACTTTCCTCTGCCAGTTCCTACTCCCGTGCCAGTACCTCTGCCTATTTGTTTCTTAAACATTGGCGCATTTTTCAACATGTCGGGCAGAATCAGGAATCGAATTTTACTGCCTCTTATGAAAACGTTCTCCAACTGGGCCACTCGTCCATCTCTATACGTAACTGTGATGTTGGTCATTTGACAGTTCATATTGTCCTCTGCTTCAATCAGCTTTCCTCTGTACACTTCGCCGGTGTTTGTTTCGCAGGTGACTATGTGACCTTCTGCTTCATGCAGAACTTTGATGGGTACGCCGATCGACATCCTTACTGTTACGTGGTACAACTAGATACTTTAGGTGCCAGATTATATTCCCTTCAAATAGATCAAAGCGGATTATCTATCGATATATCAACACCAAAGAAAAGTAGGAACAATAACAAAACGTTAACGGCACGAAGATAATCATGCGCCATCTAGCGGGATGTTTAAGCAGCTGTTCGCATGTTTCGGTGTTTCTGTCTGCGGGCAGATTGGCATTGGCTGCTGTATCATGTATGGGCTTGTTGTCTCTTTACCAGGCCATCACTTTCTTGACCGGCGCTCGCAATAATGGGGAAGAAAGATAACCAAATGGATGTAGACCTGGACAGCCTTTCTAAAACGGAGCTCATATCACAGGTGAAACGGCTCGAGATGCACGTGAAGCAACTGCAGGCCATCATCGCCAAAGCGAACTCGACGGGACTCGACCACAAGAGACCGTCGAAGAAGAAGAAGAAGCCGTTCGACTTCTCCAAGTACAACAAGCGTCACGTCGCGCTGAAGATCGCCTACCTCGGCTGGGACTGCCGCGGCTACGCCGTGCAGGACGACACGAGCAACACAATCGAGGCCGTGCTCTTCGACTGCCTGCTCAAGACTCGCCTCATCGAGTCGCGTGAGACGTCGAACTACCACCGCTGCGGACGCACGGACAAGGGCGTCAGCGCCCTCGGACAGGTCGTCTCGATCGACCTTCGATCGACCGCCGCGTCGGGCGTCGGCGTGACGACGCGTGACGGCGCCGTGGCCGACGTCAAGCCGGAGATCCCGTACGTGCGGATCCTGAACCGGGTGCTGCCGGCGCACGTGCGTGTGCTCGCGTGGTCGCCGGTCGAGCAGGGCTTCAGCGCTCGCTTCGACTGCGACGAGCGCGTTTATAGATACTACTTCCCCGCGGGCGACCTCGACATCGCAGCGATGCGCGCTGCCGCCGCCCGCCTCATCGGCGAACACGACTTCCGCAACCTCTGTAAGATGGACGTCAGCAACGGCGTCGTCAACTACCGCCGGAACATCTCCCGCGCGTCCCTCTCGCCCGTCAGCGGCGTCGCCGACGACGACGACGACGACGACCTCTCGCCCGTCGCTGCCGACGATGGGTACGGGATGTGGAGGCTGACGATCGCCGGTCGCGCGTTCCTCTGGCACCAGGTGCGCTGCGTCGTTGCCGTTCTGCTGCTCGTCGGCGAACGCCAGGAGGCGCCGGCGGTCGTCTCGCGCCTGCTCGACGTCTCGCGCTGCCCGCGCAAGCCGCAGTACGGCATGGCCGCCGACTACCCGCTCGCGCTGCACGACTGCTCGCACGCTGCCGTCAGGTGGCGCTACGACGCCGCCGAGCACGCCGCCGTGCGGCGCCATCTGCAGGAGGCGTGGACGCGGCATTCGGTGAGGGCGACGATGCTGCGAGAGATGCTGAGGTATCTCGACGAGCGGGAGGTGGAGGGAGGAGGTGACCGGGGGGAGGTGGAGGAAGGTGACCGGGGGGAGGTGGAGGGAGGAGGTGACCGGGGGGAGGTGGAGGAAGGTGACCGGGGGGAGGTGGAGGGAGGAGGTGAAACCGGGGAGGTGGAAGAGGTCACGCGGGGAGGTGAAAGGGAGGTGACTGGGGGGAGGTTTGGAGGGAGGAGGTGACGTCGGGGGGAAGGTGGACGGAAGGAGGTCGCGGGGAAGAGGTGGTGGGAGGTGGGGACGAGCGGGAGTCGGAGGAAGGACGCGGCGGGGAAGTGGAGGGAGGTGGAGACAAGCGGAAGGTGGAGGGAGGCAGGGACGAGCGAGGTGTAGAGGGAGGCGGTGACAGGGAGCGCGCGGTGGCGCGGGTCGTGAGGCACCAGAGCCGCTGCCTCGTGCAGGGGAACAGGAGCAGGGTGCACAAGCCACTGCTGCAGCGGCAGATGTGCGAGAGCCTGGAGGATCGCATCGATCACTACGTTAAGCGGAGAAAAATTGAGCGACCACTCGATCCAGGTGAATCTCAGGTAGAAGGGTTGGTGACATGTGAGCCTCAGGTAGAAGGGATGGTGACATGTGAGCCTCAGGTAGAGGGGATGGTGACGTGTGATGCGAATAGCCACGATGGAGACCCGAGCACAAAGTGAAGAGACACCCACGCTCCAGTCGCGTGGTGCATAATTCGAAGAGATCCGAGGCCAAATCGAAATACACGTATACAAGCACAAATTGTGATGGCTGTGCAAAAATAATTTACGGTGATTGCAGTGGTCCGTGAAGACCATGTGAAAAACTGCGAGAATGAGAAAAGCTTGGTAGGATCACATTCAAGAAGGTGACAATGTTGCCGAGCGTAACTGGGAACTGCCTAACTTGACACAAGGTGGAGTTATATTAGGTGACAAGCAAGACTTACAGTGCCTTTGGAACTTGATATTTATTGTTTGTTGTAAAATGCTTGTTGATTATGGAGATTGTTTGCAGGCAATTAAAAGAATTTTACCTCCATCTCTGGTTACTAGTGTTCACAGTGATGGGTTGAGCGATTGCAGATAATTATTAATTAAATGATGGTCCGACTCCCATGCGTCCTTGAAACCTGTCCGAATTTGCCAAAAAGATAAAAAGCTAAAAGCTAATGGTGGGCTAGCAAAACCATCTCAGATTTTTTAGGTTGACGAGTGTATCTGCTTGTAAATTGATTTGAACTATTGAATGCTATGAAGCCAAGCACGGAGAAATATATTATTATCAGAAACGACATTTATTACATTCTCTTCTTGTGCAACACTGACACAGCTGATCAAATAAACCAAATTCTCTCGATATTTCTGTATTTTACAAAAACAAAACAAAAAAATTACACCCACTGTCTCCGACTATACACCTACATTCTCTGTAATGGCAGTCGGTCACAATGCTGATCATTTAATTATATAGAAGCACATTTTCTTACAAAATTATGTATAAAATCATTGGCAATAATACATAAGATCAATATACTATAAATTTTCTGCAAGATAGAACATCGTAGCAACACGCACACCTGTGCATAAATTATGGAAAGCTAAAAATCTAGACAATGAACAATGGCCAATGCTGATACATTTTGGTGCCCTTTGCATGGAACACTGCGAACAAAATTGCCTAGTTCAGCAAGCAATAACAATGATCCTTCTACCACTCAATACTCCAGTGATTCTAAACGTGGTTTTATAACCGACTGATGGAAATTTGTTCGCAATTCAACGAGAAAAATAAAAGGAGGGAGAGATAGAGCGAGAGCGAGAGAAAGGGAGAGGGAAAGAGAGAGAGAGGGGACGAAGAATGAGAGATAGATATAGAGAGTGGAATAGAAATAGAAAAACAGAGGGGAGATGCGAACAGATATTTCCCAAGACAGTTCACTTTATAAATAATAAAACGCGTAGCCACCCCACATGGCTCGCTTCGTCACTTGCACGCACGCACGCACGCACGCACGCACGCACGCACGCACGCACGCACACATTGCCTCACACGTATTGCCACATGAAGAGATGTACCATTAAAACCCCTACCTCCACGTCAGTCTACCTACACGCAGGATAGCAGCAGACAGGGTGGGAAGCGCGGCGCGTGCTGGGGTGTGGCTGGCCCGTCAGCTGGTGCAGACCTGCGAACTCGCTCACCACTCGCTTATACGCGCGCGCGCACTTCCTCATTCCATATATGGCAACTTTACGATAACACAGACACTTGCAGTATTGCGGTGCGATTTTCTAGTGTAATAGGAGGTGGGGGGGCGAGGACAACCTCAGGCTGCACCCCTCCCTCCTCCGCCGCACCCCCCTACCTTCTACGTGGTGCGGAGGAAGCACGCAGGTAGGCGGGTGGAGGGAGAGGGGCGGGGCGGCTTGCTGACCATCCATCGACCCACCGATGACGCGTAAAACCCCCCCTCGTCCGCACGATCGCCACCGAACACATGCACTTTTGATTACGGGCACGACGGAAAATAAAAGCAATCGTAAAACGCCGGTTACCACCGCCTACGTGGGACATACGAAAATAACGCGAAGCTTCACACTGTGACCGCGGCAACGATTCGCTCGCCGCTACGCCGCGATTAAAAAACGAACGAAAAACGGGTTCCCTGCACAATAAAAATCGACGAACAACAAAATGAAAATAAATCCTTTGAAACCCTGCACGCCCATTCCCTCGGGAATGGCTACCGTAACACTACCCTGACCACCTCGCTCTCTCTCTCGCTCTCACTCGCTATATTACACGTACGACACCGAGCGTCCGGCGCCACAAGGCGCGGCACTCCGGTAAAATAAAATTGCCCAACTCGACTGTAAACAAACTTATAATATATGACTCTATACATAAACGACGAAACAACTTGCATATAAAACAACAACAACAACAACCCACCATTTACATCGCCCCTAAAAACCCGATTCGTCGGAGGTTGCCGGATCCCAGCCCTCAAACACCTGCCCCCACCTCTGCATTAACGACGACCCAGACAAGTTAAAAAAACCTAAACAAAACCCCTCCCTCTCTCCTAGGAATCGATCAGACATCCAGCATTAAACCGTGTGACATTAAAAGACAAAAAGAATTCCACCTTAGCAACCTGATCCGGTCACCGCGCTATTAAAAAAAAGACAAACGAAAAAAAAAACGTTCTGCTCACGAATACAACGGACCCCCGACAACAAAAGGAAAAAAATCCTTATAAGCCGCTACCCTGTTGCAATGTACCCTAAACAACTAACCTACCAAACTCGGCCTCTCTCTCAGCTGCCTCGACTCTCTCGACTCACGCAAGTAGCACTGACGAACACCGAGCGTCCCCAGGCGCCACAAAGGCCGCACTCCGTAACACACAAATCCCAAGCCTCGACCCCGGTAAACAAAACTTAAATATAGATCTCAACATAAACCGACGAAACAACTCATATAAAAACAAAACAACCCCAACAACAACAACCGAACTCTCAATTGGAACCGCGAGCCGCTAGTCACACGACAGAACGTTCGCATTGAACCAGCCCACGAACGCCCGCATCGGTCGTGGGAACTCCCGTCGCGCGATCATGGAGTCACTGCCGGCGCACCGAGCCGGGCTCCATGGACAGCCCGAAGACGCCTAACTTCAAATCGTATGAAGCAAACGGCAAAGCAAGCGAGCACTTGCTCGACCGGCTCTCTGCTCTTGCGTCCTCGCTACTCCTGTTTATTAGCGTCTGGAACCCTTTCATTATCCCACATCAACACAACGGTAATATACACAGATCTGCCCACGCTATCAACACATCAAGCACACCTGGTTTACACTTAACCGGAAGCGCTTCACGTTATCATCTCTCTCAGTTCAACACAACACTCTCTTAGATAAACCCGGATTCGTCACGTATCACCACACTCAAACCACAAGATATCCTCAGTCTCTCCCCTTGGTTTACATTAACTGATTCGTGACAACGTATTCTGTCACACATCCAACACACCTGGTTAAATAACGGAGAGCCTCACATCGTATCGCACGTACCATTCCCAACACATCTCCCTGTTAATACGCGGATTCTGGCGTAATCAACACATCTCAACACACCTGTGTAATAACGGAACCTTCACGGTATCAACACATCAAACACCAAACCCTGGTTACAAACCCGGATTCGGCACGTAACCGACACATGCAACACAACCCTGTAATTAACGGATTTCTACAGCGTATCAACACACAAACACACCGATGTGTAATTAATCGAACCGCTTCAACGTATCGCAACCCATCCAACTCAACTCTATTGCTCTCTCGCACTGACTTGCTAATTAACCCGGATCTTGCGTACACTACATCACACACCACCTGGTTAATTTAAACCGAAAACTTCAACCGTACCACGTACAACCACAGCTGTCACCGCTGGTTAAATCAAACTGATTCGTCACGCCCTTCGGTATACGCACATCAACACCACCTGGCTTAATTAAACCCGGACATCTCACGTAAATAAACCCTACATCAAACCAACACACCCCTTACTATATCCGAACCCCTTCAAAAACTTCATCGCGACATCAATCACTTGAATTGTCGATCCCACCTTGTTAATTAACGCCATCGTCGTCGCGTCATCCACACACCTGCAACCACTAACCTTAGAGTAACCGAATTCTTCACTATCGCACATCAAACTCTCAACACACCTGTAATAAACGATTCTTCGCGTATACGCAGCCATCAACACACACTGGTAATTAACGGATCGCACGTCATCACACATCACAACATCTTGTCCTCTCCCAACCGTTAATTAACGAGGATTTTCGCGTCATCCGCACTTTCACACTCATTTGTCTTTCTATCCGGCCCGTAATAACCGTGGATCGTCGCGCCACAACATGAACCAAACACTTGGTAATAAAAGGATCGTCGCACGTATACACATCCATCAACAAGCTTGACTGTTTAATAAACCGATTCGTCACGCACCGCACATCAACACACTGGTGGTAATTAACTGATCGCCTCTACCACACATCAACACGCCGTGCGTCCGCCGCTTGTTAATTAACCAGCGATCCCTCACTCGTACACACATCAGACACACCTAAATAAAACCCGAGCTTCACCCGTATCGACACGGCAACACGGGGCCACCGTGTTAATTAACGAATACGCACGGGAGCAACGCATCAAGGCAGGCACGCAGGGTTAAGGTAAGCGGGGGGCGAGTTGTGTCGGCACGATATCACCAGCATCAACAGAGCCTGTTAATTAAGCAGAACCGTTTCACTTAAGCAGCACAGTGCCAGGTGCATTGGTCAAACAAGCCATGGCCTGTTAATAAACGTGGATCGGTCTCGCGTATGCACCACAATCAACACAGCCCGGTATATTTAACGTGTGGATTGCGTTCTGCATACTGCACACATCAACCACACAGTGCCTTGGCTAAGTAACCATGGGGGGATTCGCATCGTAGGGCAACCGGCAGCAGCAACAGCACCTGTTAAATAACGGATTCGCAACTGGTATCAAACACATCAACATGGGCACTTGGTTAATTACGGAACTCTTCAGTATCACACATACTAACGACAGCCTGTTAATAGACGATCGGTCGCGAGCGACAACATACCAATTCGAACACGGAGGTGTCCCGGTGAATTAACGGATCGTTCGCCCGTAATGCACACCTAAGGCAAGACACAGGGGCGGCGCCGTGTGGTTCCTTGTTTAAGTAACTGGATCCTACACGATATCGGAACAGGCATCAATCACATTCCTGCTAATTAACGGATTCTTCACGTATCACACATCAACACACCTGGTTAATTAACGGATTCTTCACGTATCACACATCAACACACCTGGTTAATTAACGGATTCTTCACGTATCACACATCCAACAACACCGGAATACGGAACCTCACGTATCGCACATTCAACGCACATTGCACCTGGTAATAACGGATCCGTCGCGTATATACACATCAACACTGCAGTCCTGGCTAATTACACGATCTTCTCGCTTATAACACACATCAACCACACCTGCTCAAAACGGATCTCGCTATCACACAACGACACCTGGTAATTTAACGCCTTCTCGCAGTATCCAACACATCTAAACACAGTCACCGCGTAATCTAACGGATTCACGACGCAGCATCATCAACACAACTGGTTAAAACGGATCTTCACTATCACAACCATCAACACACCTGGTAATAACGGACCCGTACGTACTCAACAATCACACAACCTGTAATAAAACGCGAATTCTCACTATCACAGACACATCAACACACCCTGTTAATTACCGATCCGGCCACGACACACACAAACCACACCCCGGATAATTAAGGATCGTCGCGTCATCACACATCAACACAACCTGTTAATCTTAACGAATCCCGCCGCGTACACCACAAACACAAACCTTAAATAACGATATCTTCGCGAACAACAACAACACACAATGTAATGAAGTCGAAACCCTTTCCACATCACCACCATCACCACACAACTGTTAAAACCGATCTTCGCGATCATACATACAACACACAAGGTGTCCATGGTCAATTAACGAACCTCCAACGGCTAATCGCCACATACAACACACCGGTTAATTAACCGGACTCCGCCCGCGTACCGCACCATCAAACACACCTGTAATAACGGAAACTTCACTATATCCACATCAAAAAACCACACCCGGTAATAACATCGTCACGTACAACACATCACACACACCTGGTTAAATACGCGGATATCGTCACACAAACAACACACCCTGAGTAATTAACGGAACTCGACTATCGCACATACAAAACACACCCGGTAATAACCGATTCCGCACTATTCACACTACTAGGGCAACCACACCGTTAACTAACGCAGCGGCCTTCGGCTATACGGCACCATCCAACCACACTGTATTAACAGACTCTTCAACAGATCACACACATCCAACACAACCTGTAAATTAACGGAACTTCCCAAAGTAAATCGCCAATCCACACACGCGGCTACCAACCCCTGGTTAATAACGAATCTTCCTGATGCGACCACCGTGCACGTTCATA